GCCAGAGACTTGACTACCTCTCGGTTGGCTAAAAAAAAAAATAGTAATGAAAAGGAAATTCTCTATGTCTGTAATGCATCTCGGTTAGCATATTTTAAAAAGTAAATATTCTAAAATGAGTTTATGGCAATTCTCTCTCAGAGAAGCCCACATCGAAAGACATGCCCCCCTTTGTCGAGGGCTTCTTTTTCTCTTAATCCTCATGCTTAAAAATCTGTATTTAAAATGTCATTTAATTTAAAAAAATTATAAAATTTTAAAGGTAAGTGCACTTGAAAGAACGGGTTAAACTGAACTGATGATGCACACTTTTGCTTCCCTAGTTTCTGTGTCTCAAACTTCTGCCTCAACAGCTCTCTGGTCTTCCACCGCCTGCTATCTACCCCAGGATTCCCAGGTGCTCCCAGCACTAGGGTACTGCCCACCCACTTCGAAAGAGGAAACAGCAACCAAAATCGTGTTTATTGCCCGCCTCCCATGTCGCAGCCATTCTGAGTGCACTAGGCCTAAACTGTAGAGTAAACCAACCCTGAATCCTCAGCAGCTGTGTAGGAGACAGTTCCCTCCCTCGAGGGTTTCTTTCCCTGCCCCTCTCCGCGACTGTCATTCTCTTCATCTGGGTCCAGAAATAGGAGACTCACTTTTTAGTTCTTAACATCCCGACAGCAGCAATTTCCCCTCCCTCCCTCCTCTCAGTCCCCCGACCCCTACCCCACCCACTCCTCCTCAGTTTCTCTTCAGAAAAGAGCAGGCCTCCTCTGGATATCAACCAGTCATGGCTTATCAAGTCGCAGTAAGACTAAGCACTTCCTCTCCTACTAAGGCTGGAGAGGACAACCCAGTAGGGGGAAAGGGCCCTAAAAGCAGGTAACAGAGTCACAGACAGCTCCTGCACCCACTGTTAGGAGTCCCACAAAAAGACCAAACTACACAACTGTACATATATGCAGAGGGTCTAGGTCAGTCCCATATAGCCAGGTTGTCTGTTCAGTCCAGGAGACTCACTTCTTCATGTATTCATGAATATGTAAAGGCTTACCACATTTGTTCTTGCCGAGGACTCTGATTTATGAATCTGAAACGTATTTTCTCTAGCCAGGAAAGTCTGTCAAGTGGCATATATATGTGTATGTGTACATATGTATGTGTATATGTATGGATGTATATACACACACATACACAGTATTTTTTCTGAGTAATAAAATGAATCACATACATTCGAAGCATGAAGTCTGTTCTATACATGCTAAAGCTCACGTGTACGTGTGAAGGAGAATGTGCAGGTGAGTGCCCACAGAGACTAGAGGAGGGGGCTGGATATCCTGGAGCTGGAACCACAGACATCTGTGAGGCGCCTCATGGCAATGCTGAGAACCACACTTTGAACCCTCTCCCCTCTCCAAGAGCAGCACATACTCTTAACAGCTAAGCCATTTCTCCAGCTCCGAGAGGTTAACTTCAATAGCATAACTTGTAGGAGGTATAATTCCCATAGAATGTTTTTATTATGGACTTTTCCTTTCACAATACAATAGCAAATCAATCATTTCCGCTCAACCGTGTGTGTGTGTGTGTGTGTGTGTGTGTGTGTGTGTATACCAGATGCATGCAGTGCCTGCAGAGGCCAGAGTCATGTCGTGGTGGGGATCCAACTCCTCTGCAAGAACAGCAACTTCTCTTAACTGCTGTCCCATTTCTCCAGCCCCACAAATTCATACTTTATTTCAACAAAAATGTATATAAACCAATTTTAATATTTTGTTATAAGCCCAAACATCCAACCATAATGGCCAACTGATGTAGTAAAACTGTTAGGAGATAGCACCATGTTAGGCAGGCCTTTATAATTATTAAGGCTATTTAACATATAAAAACATTTAAACTGTAGGTAAAAAATTTTTAAGGCCCAAATTACAAGTCCTCTGTAATTCTAACTCCACCAATTTGGGTGCTAGGATTTATATTATAATCTGTGGATGCTCAACTCCGTTATAGAAAAATGGCATAGTATTTGTGTATAACAAGCAACATTCTCCCATATACCTTAGATCATCTCTAGGCTACTTACCACACCTAACAATATGTTAATTTTATGTAAGTAGATGTTACGCTTTATTGATTATTACATGACATAAAAAGTCTGTACACATTTAGTACAGATGCAGTATTTTCCCAAATGTTTTTATCTGAACTTGGCCGAAGCCAGTAATATGGAACCTAGAGATAAAGAGGATCAATTGTATATGATTAAAAAAAAAAAACAGAAAGAAAGAAAGCCTATCAAAATTCTAATGTTCATTGTACTTGGATAGACTGTATAGACTGTATCCTTAATTAAACCTGTGTAGTTTTTTAAAATTATGATTCCCTTTTTATTTATTATGAGAAATATCTATTTAAACATTTTTATCTGACAGGCTGACATTCACAAGTCTATGGGACTAATTAACCTATAATCAATTTTTCATAAGTTTGAAAAGCCCTTATCTGAAGTCCATGAGACCAGAACTGCTAGATTTTTAAATTATTTTAGATTTGTGAATGTTTGTGTGTGTATATATGTGTGTATGTGTGTATGTATGTATACATGTATATATTCACATATATGTATAATTCATTAATGCATAACAAGCCGAAGTAGGAAATATTTGTCTTATATGGACTTTACATATATAACATGAAATTTTTTTCTATAACATTTAGTATGTCTGGCTTCTTAAAATGTATTTCTAAGATCTTTTTTTAATCCTTATTGCATGTATTTGAGCGTTTTGTTTTATTTTGTTTTGAGACAGTGTCTCACCAAGTAACTCTTTGTTAGTATAGAACTATATAGACAAGTATATAGACAAGGCTGCCCTTGAGTCCACAGAGATCTGCCCACCTCTACCTCCCAAGTCCTGGGATTAAAAGCAAATGCAATACCAGACTTTTATTCTTTGTGTGTGTATGTGTGTGTGTGTGTGTGTGTGTGTGCCTGTGTTTCTGTGTATGTCAGTATGAGTGAACACCACATGAATGCAGGTACACTGAGGGTTTGGATCTACCTGGAGTGTCAATTACTGGTGGTTTGTAAGTCACTTGGCTTGGGAGCTGGGATTCAGACTTAGTCCTCTGGAAAATCAGAAAGCACTCTGAACGCTGAACCATCTCCCCAGCCTCATAGCTGTCATCTGAGTGCAACTCATCATGTAATGGCAAGTGAAACTTTTCTACTTGTGATGTCAAGAATTCAAAAAGCTGTATATTTGGGAGGAATTGGGATTTTCAGATCAGAGATGCTCAGCCTGTGTCTAACTGCTCTGGGAAATATTTAGGTAACATTTTAACTTCTATAAAAATTTCTACACCAGAGCGTAAAAGGCCAAAGAGAGATAAAGGTAACTAGAAGGACTTCAAGAGACGGTGCTATCAAATTGTCAAGACCTTGTGCCATCAAGCGGAAAAGCAAAGACTAAAGAAGGTTACAAGAAATCAGCTATGGAAACAAATCACTCTAAAGAAATGGTGGATGGTGCTTGATTTTAACTGGGAAAGTAACTCCTCCTTGCCCACCTCCCAGAAATCCTCCCAGGGAAGTGTTGAGAAGTTCTCAAAACACAGTCAAACCAGTTGTAGCCAGGCAGGGCATGGACTCCATGTACATGAGTCCAATTCTACCTTGAGTTCTTCCTGTAAAGAAATAGAGCCAGTATCACCTAAACTATTAAATCATGGCCAGAATTAAGTGCTTGATAAACCCTTGAAATAACAGATAAGCAATGCTACTTCTCTAGATCAATCTTTTCTTTGTCACTGTTTCTCAAAGTGTGAAACCCTAAAACCACATTAGAATCTCTTGGCATTTGTCACAAAGGTGATTCATTCCATAATCCCTGGAGGTATGGTTCCTAACTCATTATTCTCAAATACTGCAAGCTTAAAGATGATTCAAAATGACCTTTTTGTTTTGGTTTGGTTTTTTTTTTTTTTTTTTTTTTTTTTTTGGTTTTGGTTTTTGAGACAGGGTTACTCTGTGTAGCTAGCCCTGGCTGCCCTGAAACTCACCAAGCTAGCCTCAAACTCAGAAACCCACCTGCCTCGGTCTCCCAAATGCTGGTATTAAAGGTATGTGCCATCACACCTGGCTTAAAATGAGCTATTTAACCAGGCTGGTGGCACAGCCTTATAGGTCCAGTTACTGGAGAGGCTAAGGCAGAAGGAGGAAAATTCAAAGTCTGCATAGGCTACAAAGCAAATTCAAGACCAGCCTATGAACTTATGGAGATCTTCTCTTAAAATTAAAAGTTTAAAAGAGAAAGAAAGGAAGAAAGAAAGAAAGGAGGGAGGGAGGGAGGGAGGGAGGGAGGGAGGGAGGGAGGGAACTGGGGGTTTAGCTCAGTGGTACAATACTTATCTATCACAGTCCCCCTGTAGGTTCAAGCTTCAGTATTTGCAAAAACTAAGCTAGCATAATACATTTAACTTCACTGGTCCTAAATTCCAAAACCAATTATATTTTATAAACATAAAACAAAATATTTTATAAACTTAATGGTCCTCAACAGTAGGAAAGGAATAACTTAAGTCCTTTCCCTTAAGAGCCCAAATTATCGATTTCTGAAGGATGCATATTTTTCTTGCTTTAGCATCTGTGTTCATTTCCCAAGCCAGCCCAGTGTTTATACAGGTCTGTTCAGAGAAAGCAAAAGTAAATTATAACCTCTCATAATGCAAAAACTACTTATCAAATGATCCTAAATTTAATTTAAAAACCATTTGATATTAATAAGACAATGTCCAATAAAATGACCAATCCTGTTATTTTGGGGGTATCTAGAAATGGGGTAGGAATGTAACTCAGTTGATAGAGCAACTCCCTAGTGTGCAAAAGACCCTAGTCTTCAACCACAGTCCAAAGAGCCAGAAGGAATAGCAGACAGCTAAATAGTGGCTTCTTACATGCAAGCATGAGACAGTCTGTATGTATACTTTATGCCCAAATCAAGAAATACTTGTCATGAATTTTAATGTCTAATTTTATTAACTTCTGGTCTGGTTTCATGTCTGATTTCGGCATATATTTCATGACAGCCAAAAGCAAAGAGAAACATTTGGAACTGCTGAGGGGAGAAACCCTACAATTTTATGAGAGCCAGTGACATTCTTTACATAAAAATCAGTTCTTAAAACCCACAAGCTTCGGAACATAAAAATAAACTTCTATTTACATATTTGTTTCCAAAAGTGGTTATCCTATAATAAGAATTCATCACATAAAATTTAGCTGAATCAAGTAAGAAATAATTCGCCGGTGCCCATACCAATCCAAAGCAGAGACTGTGTGCTCTTTCGTTTTGCTCCTTTCCAGATAAAAGCAGGAAATTGTTAATATCCTCATATAAAATTCTGACCACACACATTGGCCTTTACAAGTAATTGAGAAAAAAAAAAAGTCAATAGAAACTCCTGAGATACAACAGTCTTCATTGTGGCCACAGGAACCGCTAGCAATAATCCCTCTATTCCTGAGGAGGGAACTTTATGCTATTCATGAAGACGTGTTCAAATGTCCTTTACCAAGTAAGCAACAAACATAGCACTGCCAACCAAATCTATCTCTTCTGTTCACATCAAAACATCCCTCATAGGCATCGACACAGTCACCCCCCACTCCAGAAGAAGCTAGTTCTTAACCACTCATTAGCATCTTTGGTTACAAGGGGAATACAGTGTGTAGATGTGTAAGTTAGAGCTTTACAATGGCTAAATCAAGATGGAAAAATCCTATAGGTAGATACAAATGCAGTCCACACTGCCTAAGTTCATTACCAGTCATTATGCAAAGTACAGCTCTTTTCTGAAATGTCCCACAAGTTGAGAGTATCCATTTCCCAATGCAGTCGATCACAAATTTTCTATGCTGCAGGTCAACTGGAAAGGTCACTGATTGTGATTGCTCCAGTGAACTTGAGGATACCTAAGTCTCCAAGGGGCATACGTAAGATAGGAACATGTCCAGCTGGTTCTTCACAATAACTTCATCTGGATGCAGCTTGTGGGGTAGGTGATGAGCCAAGGTCATCTCCCAGGCATCAACAAGGTAGACTCCAACCCCTGAAAACATCCTCCGAAGAACAGTGTCCAGTTGAAAGTTGTACCAGTCACTGTTGTAAAGGCTCACCTCAGGCCCCAGCTCTTGAGCATTGCCTGTCCGGATGACAACCACAGTCTTAGGACTTCGATCCAGGAGTTGGACCACTGCTCGTCGGATGTTCCTGAGCCTCCGGATATAGACTTCCAAGGGGAATGTGCTAAAGTGAGACCATACAGCTATGGCCACCACTGTGTTCTTCCCTCCCACAATACTGTTCAGTTCATTTGCCACATAATGGAGCTCATTACTGAAGACGCTCGTGAAGCGGATGGGTGGACCATGACAGCGATATTTAAGCAAGATGTTGTGTTTCTGGTCCACTGCAAGGAAGGGACCAACATTCTTGGGACTACCCAAATTAAACTCCACTAAATCTGAAACAAGGAAAAACCAAATTCATGAAAACATTCCATCTAAACACATATATTCTAAATATTCAAGTGGCTTTCAAACAGTTTTAAAAATAGAATTACAAGAAAGAGGCTCAATGGAAGTTTAACAGGAATACCTATTGCCTGTGTCACATTTTGAATCAATGGACCTTTAGTCTAGTGCCATCATTATTCAAATCATGCCATCACATAATAAGCAATATTATCAGTTACAGTCTGCGCATATCTAAGATGATTACCTCTGTTAAGCCAAGAGTGCAGTTGACGTTCATATTTTATCCTTCTCATAGATGAGCAGTTCTAAGACAGGGTCTGTAACTTCTGTTTTATGAGCAAATTTCAGTAACTACACATATCTTTTTGAAAATGCTGCCATTTGCAACAACATGAATAGGCCCGGAAGGATGCCACATTAAGTGAAATAAACCCGACACAGAAAGAAAAATACACCATGGCCTCTCTTCTGTGTAGTAACTATGAGAGTTTAACACTCAGAGAGTAAAAACTCACCAAAAGCTGGGGAGCTTTGAAAGGGAACAGGAGAAATTAATAAAAGACACCTATTCTAACGAGGAAGAGTCAGTTTGTGAGACCTAGCATACTGAGGTACATTGTGAGGCCCAGGACAATGGCTATAGTTGATAATAACATACTTTAGAATCTCCCAAAGAGATTCCAAATGTTGTCACTGCCAATAAATAAGTATATGAAGTTACAGGTATGATAGTTAGCTTGATAAAAATCATTCTATCAATAGGTCCCAATGTACCCTCTAAATACGCGGACTTATTTATCAATTAAAATAAATTTTTAAGCCAAGAATGATAGCATATGTTTGTAATACCATCACTTAGGAGATTAAATAAGAGGTATTACTGAGTTTAAAGCTTCCCAGGGCTACAGAGAGAGAGATCTTGCCTCAAAATAAGTAAACAAATATTTTTTTAGAAAGAAAACTAATCTAAATTATACTCCTGAATTTAAAACAAAAACAAAAACAAGAGAGCAGGTTCCTTGTTCTTCCAATGTGCAAAAGAAAAAAGTGGTTATGTTCCTTTTGGCTTTTAAGTTTGCCCCCATAGTGAAAACCTTATAAGAAAACTTGTCTGGCATAAAAAATAACAAAGTTAAGTGGGGCGTGATAACGCATACCCTGATCACTAGGAAGGCAGAGGCAGATGGATCTCTAGGATCATGAGGCCAGCCTGGTCTACATAGTGAATTCCAGGCTACCCAGATGGTGATAGCATGTCTCAGATAAAAGAAAAAGAGAGAAAAGTGTGTGTTGGGGGCAGGAGGTGTCAGTAGCACAAATTAGAAATCTTTTCACTCCCCCCCCTTAAGCTGTGTTTCACGGCCCAGTTCCTACAAACTCTACACATATGGGAAGCTGAGGCAGGAGATTCCTCACAAACAGAACCAGGCTGATATATAAAGCAACCTGCAGGCTAGCAGGAGTACACAGTAAAGCTTGTCTCAAACTAAATACACACACACACACACACACACACGCACAGTAAATACTGACAATGCCATTCTGTTCACACTTCCTTGGCAACTCTACTGTGCCCACTTCCCTTCGACAGGTACCAGAAATCAGATTAGACTATTCCTATACTCCCCTTAAGGGCTAAGGCTGGTTTCACTCTTTCTTCGCTAGCATGCCCAGCTTCTCCTTTAGACTCTCCTGCTTGACTCATTACTATTTTGCCTCCAGAGTTAAAGTGGATAAAAGTTCACACTAGCGTTTACTTTTGATAAAGATCGGACACCCACACGAGGCTTTATTTTATCAGATGAAAATCTGTCTGTAAAGGGTCTTGTGGAAAATGATCAGAACAGTCCATGTGATCATTGCCATTACAAAGGAAATATCAGGCCACGTCATCAGAAATTATGAAGAGGCGGCTGCAGAGGCCTTGAAGGCCTGCGGGGTCAGCACCAGGGATTAGCCAGCATCTTGCCACATGCTGCTTCCTCCACCAGAGTTGTAGTTTAGGCTTCACTAACTAGAATTCAACCATATCTGCTTCAGTGAAAAGAAAACAAACAGAACTGACTTCCTACCTTTGGGGGTTAAAAATCTGCTTCCATTTCTTTTAAAAAGTAAAATTAGACATGATGAAAAAGCATCAGAAGCAATTCACACACAAAACAATGAGAATTTATATTAGAATGAATGAATGAATGAAATCAAAAAACCTCCGTTTACAGGGCTGGAGAGAAGGCCCAATGATTAAGAGCTCTCACTGCTGTTCCAAAGATTCTGAGTCCAATTCCCAGCACCCACATAGCAACTTATGACTATATGATGTTGTTTTCTGGTGCACAGACACACATGCAAAGTATTTGTGTGCATTAATAAATAAATCTTTTTTTTAAAAAACTCCATTTACAACCATTAAAAAAAAAGTCCCCACACAAGTTGAGCAGAAGAAGACTCAATCAGTACTCTCCATTCAAGCACCTGAGGCAAATCTGGGAGGCAGCTTGGAGGGGCGGGGAGCCAGAGTCAGGTCTCTCAGGCTAGTGAAAGACTCTGTCTCACAAAATGAGCTGGACAGAGCCTAAGAACAACACTCAAGGCTGACTTCAGCCTCCATACGCATACCTTCACACACGCCCACTTCCACCCATACACACAGGTACACAAAAACACACAAACAGTTCCCACACCACCACCTATTCTTTAACAAGTAAGGGCACACACTTAAAGGAAGAAGACAGCGCCTCCTGGGGCTGAGTGGTAGGTCTCCAACCAGTACAGTCTTACTCTGCATCTGAAGTATAGTCTTAGAGGGAGGCTAAGAATGATGGACCTTGCCCAGAGCCTCTCAATAGCAGCCATCTCTGTCTCAATAAGAGGCCCCATGGATGCCTTGGCTACACGGATACATTTAGCTGCTTCCTTCCAGTAAAATCCTGTACAGACCTAGAATGGAGTCATATGGAACTGGAAAAGAGATAACCAGCAGCGGCCAACAGTTTCTTGATCCAGAATATTAGAGGTGGCAGAAACCTGTGAGGCAGCATAGCGCAGCTGTCTAATCTGACACGGAGAAGGAAGCCCTGAACAGAGCATGCGCATGACTCATCCTAGGTCAGAGAGAGTGTCACTATCTCCCGGGGTTAAGATGCTTCTTTACGGAGAGATCCCCTCCTCACCTGACTCCTCTCTTCAGGCTCAAAAGTGAGTCTGTTCATCTCAAACACATACTGGGAACAGTCAGGAAACCAAAAGCAAAGCACCAACCTGGAACAAATGCAGTGAGGTATTCAAACCACTGCCTGATTGTTGAGTCACCGAATAAATATACCATTTTTCTTTGCAAGCATTCTGTAACGTTGTCGGGGTCATTAAAATGGCGCATCTTAAACCTCCTGGGCCGCCACCGGTTTTTGTAGAAATGTCCAGAAGGAAAAACTCCTGAGCCTTGAGAAACTTCTAGGTCATCAGTTTCTACAAAGAAAAAAAAAAAGGGGGGGGGGGGGAGAGAATCTATCATAAGATTCTGAAATTTATCACCAAAATCAGATACAAAAAAATGTTTTCAGAAAAGAAAAAAAAAAGGGAGAGAGAACTGTATCCACGTATTTGCTGGCCTGTAAGCTTAGAGGCAGTACTTCCTGTTGTCATAGCTTGAAGAAATCCCAGGCATTCCCCCAGACACTAAAATGGGAAGATGAGAAGTGGGGGTTGGGGGGCTATTGGAGGGCACCAGGGGCAAAGAACACTTCAGGCATTCCTTCTGTGTATGTGTGTGTTCAGCGAAGTTCAAAATAAAGGAAGACAAAACCCAAGGAAATGCATCTACCCAGTGTTATTTCAGAATGGAAGTAGTTTTTATCCTAATGCCTGAAAGCCAAATGATAACTTAATCTCACATTAAGTTATATATAGGAGATAGACACACACACATACACACACACACACACAGACATATATATATATATATAAATTTTAATATTAATACAATGCCTCCTGCTCCATTAAATGTTCTAAACTCAAATTTTAATTCGGGAAAACCACCAGTGTCAAATCCAGAGAAGAAGCCATGCTCTACAAATGGTTCAGGTCTTTAGGAATCAGAAGTGGCACTAAAAAGCACCAGCAACATGAACTCACATGGTAGCCCAGCTACACATTGTAATATCAGCACTAGAACACCTTTCAGCGAGAGTTGCTATCCCTCAACCTTTATAACTCCCTTGGGAGATGCCACAGTGGAAGCGATAAACAGCAAGGTTTCAAATCACTTGGTAATAGCTAATGTGCCTTACAAGTTAACTCTGTACACACAGAGAACTATATGCACATATTTGCTGGCCTGTAAGCTTAGAGGCAGTACTTCCTGTTGTCATAGCTTGAAGAAATCCCAGGCATTCCCCACCCACCCACCCCCACTCAACACTAAAATGGGAAGAGTGCATAGTTCTCTCAGTGTCCAGAGTTAACATGTAAGGCACATTAGCTATTACCACGTAATTTGAAACCTTGCTGTTTGTTGCTTCCTGTAACTCAGGCACATTCCCTGATAGTGCATTTTTAACTTTTCCCCCTTTAGGCATCTTTATTGGTTCAGGGACTAAGCAGAAAAGTAACTGGTAGTTTGCAAAAGTTTTAATTTGGCAAATATGATTAGAAAGGCAAATAATAAACATTTATTTGACTTATTCAAGAGTAATTTCCTTGGCAGGGTACACTTGGGAGGTGCACTACTCTGGAGACTGAGGCAGGAGGATTGCTTGAGCTTGGAAGTTCCAGACCAATGTAGGCACACAGCAATGACTCCATCTCAGGAGGCCAAAAGAATCACAGTGAGAAATAACCTCAGTATGCTATCAAGTGTTACTTCACCTGCAGCATGCCCCAACTCTGTTATTATTACATTCAGTGTGTGAGCATGTGTGTGTGCATGCCAGAGAGAGAGAGGGAGGGAGGGAGGGAGGGAGGGAGGAATAAGTTCTCTCCTTCTGCTATGTGGAAGCCAGGGATCAAACTCAGGTTATGAGGCTAGGCGGTCAGGAATTTACCAGCTGAGCTGTCTCGCCTGCCCTCCTTGATTTAATGTATCAATGCTGCATAGCCAGAGACCTGCAGAGAACACACCTGGGGCACAAAGAAAATATTTACTGAGAATGAGAATTAAAAGTGATTTTGAAGTTACAATTTTACCCCTGGTAATTTGGCAGATTCAGTTATTTTGTGTCAAATACATGTTAAAAAGAAAAGTATATATCACACAGGAAGCAATTACCATTTCCATGAGAATGTTAATTATATTTACTACCAGAGTTTAGTCAAGCAAAGCAAATCAATTACCGAAACTGACATTCATTCTTTAAACATAGGATACTGTGGAGGAGTGAAATGCATGTGCCTATAGTGCCCCCTGGCGGTCAATTTGCACAAAAGTGTTTCCTGACTGATTTCAAATAATCGGAAGTTGCTTAAAAAGCCTTTCTTGAGGGGTTTCCGAAGGGGAGACCTGGAAAGGGGAAAACATTTGAAATGTAAATAAAGAAAATATCCAATAAAAAATTTGAAACCAAAAAAAAAAATTTTTTTTTAAAAGTGTTTCTTGGATTTTGGAGGTTCCCATGTACTACAGGTATTTCCTCCATAGGGGGCACTAATCAATATCCTCCAACCCACAACAGCCCCAAAGACAAACCAAGATTCGGTTCTAACAAAGTTCACCCTGGGCAACCAATGAATTTACTGGACCTACTTACAGAGCGTGGATGAGGGGTTACTGACAGGAGTGTGCGTGACCATGAGGCACCACACTGGAATGCCTCCACCCAGCGACCCAGGAATTTGCTTCCCAGTAGCAACCATTGTTCTCAAAGTCTTCCCCAGTTTACATACTCTAGCCCCACCAGAGACCCCAAAGGCCACTTGCAGTTAAGGTAAATGGCCTTGAGAACTAGCTGGAGGCTCAGGTGAGTATCCAATGATACCTCCAGTCCCTCCTCCTGTGGAGAATGTCAACAGCCAACAAACCCAGCAGTGGTGACCTTTCACAAGCACATACTGCTAGCCTTGTGATGATGGTAATTATTCTGCTGGGGTGGAGGGAACAGCACCATACAACTCCCCATCATCCATTAGCCTAACGAAGGTTATCTGGACCAAAAATAGAATAAAAATGAGAGTAACAAAGGCTGGGAAATTTTCCTCAACTACCTTTAAAGATGAAAGAGATACCATTAGCATTAAGAGCAGAAATTTGGGTACCATCTCAGCAAGATAAGCAAGGTCCCACATAAGGAATGAGTTCAAATTTCCAACAAGACAGGAGTCCATCAAAGTCCCTGGGCCATTTAGTTGTGAGTGTATAGGGACCACAGTACAGATACTAATAAAAAAAAATCAGTAATTCTAATTCTGAGCAACTCTGTCCTCCACCAGACACTTGCCTTTGATAACAAGGTCTACTCTGAATAAAAAACAGTTTCTTGCTTTTGACTGAAATGACAGCATTGTGTGTTGGTAGAAGGGCAGTCTCGAGCGACACACTGTACTCTAAATATATGTCTTAGGGGAAAATGAATTGGCTCATATATAAATAGTAAAACTGGTAGGAAAGAAAGCTTCAAAATATAGAAGTCATAGGAAAATAAGAAAGACTTCTTTCACATCAATCTAAAAATCTTCCCTGACAATGTCATTCGGAGTCTGGTGCAAAGTGATTATGTGTCGTCTTTACCCTGTTTAGGGGTGTGTGTGTGTGTGTGTGTGTGTGTTTAAGAAAAAGTATGAATTATTAAGGCTGGGGTGGGGAGAATACAAAGTGAGCCTATGACATCTTCTGGTGTCAGAAAAAAAAAAAAAGAAGTGCTCAACAGAGACGAAAGTAGATCAAAGGGATGAAGACCACACTCTTGAAATCCCAGAAGTTGGGAGGCTGAGGCAGGCGGGGTTCATACGTCAGGCCAGTTTCCGTTTACAGAATCCAAACTGAAAAGGTTTCCAATTGTCAAATTTGGAAAAATTTTCAGCACAAACTCACACATACACACACACACATGCACACACATACACACACACTCACATACACACACACACACATACACACACATATACACACACACACACACACACTGGGGGAGGAATAGTGACTGCGTTAAGCTGAGTCTTAGCTCAAAAACAAAGTAGCTGATCATGGTGATGCACACCTTTGGTGGCAGCATTTTCTGTGAGTCTAAGTCCAGTCTGTTCTACATATCAAGTTCCACAAAAGCCAGGGCTACATAATGAAACCCTGTCTCAAAGGAAGAGAGGGAGGGAGAGAGGGAGGGAGAAAGCCAATTAAATTAAAAGAAACAAATATAATGACAAGTGTATAGTGAAGTGGACAGGAAAAAGGACAACTCTTCTTCAGACTAGCATTCTAATGAATAAATCTTGAAAGGAATGTCATAGAAATCATTGCTACTGCCGGGCAGTGGTGGCGCATACCTTTAATCCCAGCACTTGGGACGCAGAGGCAGGCGGATTTCTGAGTTCGAGGGCAGTCTGGTCTACAGAGTGAGTTCTAGGACAGCCAAGGTGACACAGAGAAACCCTGTCTCAAAAAAACGAAAAAAAAAAAGAAAAGAAAAAGAAATCATTGCTACAGTTGAATGCAATAGAAGCTGAAGCTAGTAGGTGTGGTGGTTTGAATATGCTTGGCCCAGGGAGTGGGACTATTAGGAGGTGTGGCCTTGTTAGAATAGTTGGAGCTTGGAGACCCTCCTCTCAGCTGCCTGGAAGCCAGTCTGCTCCTGGCTTCCTTCAGATGAAGATGTAGAACTCTCAGTTCCTCCTGTGCCATGCCTGCCTGGAAGCTGCCACGTTCCCACCTTGATGATAACAAGGTGATGATGAACCTCTGAACCTGTAAACCATTCCCAACTAAATGCTTTATAAGAGTCTTTTATAAGAGTTGCCTTGGTCATGGTGTCTCTTCACAGCAATGGAAACCCTAACTAAGACAGGAGGGAAAAGTTTAAGTAGAAACAGAATGTTTGCATACAAAGGAAAGGCAGAGAATTTCATTAGGGTCTTAAAGTGCCACCTCTGGAAGTTGTGGACCACTGGGAAGGTCCCTCAATCTGAGCTCCTTGGATATACAAAGCAAATTTTTCCTAATTACATACCTGCTACAGTATGACTTTCTTACTCAAAAGCCAGAGTATTCTGTACCTAATAACTTTGAGTTACCTTCTCCCATCAGAAAAAAAAAAAATCCCCTGCTAATTTAATCTGTCTTCTCTCTACTCACAAACTCATACCACTTTCTGGCTGACCTGGGACCTGCTGATTAGAAGTAAACTATAAAACCTCTGCCTAATTAGCTTAAGAATAATGTAAATGGGACACGTGGGTGGATACAACGCAATGCAGCCATGAGTCCCTCAGTACTGAAGCTGAGCTACATCTAACTGGGTCCTGAAATCTTTGTGCGGGTTCTGTCCACACTGGATAAGGAATTTCCCATTATTAAAATTTTGGAGAATGGGGGGCAGGGGGAAGATCTGGTGAAATAGCTCAGTGGTTAAGAGCACAGTCTGCTCTTCCAGAAGTCCTTAAGTTCAATTCCCAGTAACCACCTGGTGGCTCACAGCCATCTGGAATGGGATTCCCTCTTCTGGCTTGCAGGTGTACATGCAAACAGAGTACTCATATACATAAAACAAATAAATAAATCTATAAAACAAACAAAAAGTTTATTTTGAAGAATGGCCCAGGGTGTTGGTGATCAATGCCTTTAATCTCACCACTTGGGAGGCAAAGACAGGTGGATCTCTGAGTTCAAGGACAGCCTGCTCTACAGAGCAAATTCTAGGGCAGCCAGGGCTACACAGAGAAGGTCTATCTCAAACCTACCCATCCACCCCAAAAAACAATTTTTTTTGAAGAACAAAAAGCTCCTCTATTAACCACTCTACTGGACACCTGGGGACATCATATGCCTGGCAGGCTTGGGAGAATGGAAGGAAAGAAGTAGATTAAGTGTTTGGAGTGCAGTGTCACTGAGAAACACCGCATATGCTACACACATCCCTGTGATTGGCAAGTCATCTGGTTCAAGTAGAAAGCAAATACAGATCTTCATCAGGAGACTAAGACTTCTCACATCTAACAGTGGAAGCCAGAGACTGTATATCTGGTCTACAACTTTTATTTGTATCATGTAATTTTTTTTCATGAATTCTGAACTAGATAGATACCAGTGTTTTAAAATATATAACTATCACATTTTAAAACTCAGATTATTTGGGGGGAAAAAAACAAAACCAAAACAAACAAACAAAGTCTTAATTAAGATTTCTGGTTTGATCCAGTGAAGAAAAGCTACAGTCTGACCGAAGTGGGGTTTGTTTGGCTGGAAAGGAAGGACCACACTGCCCCCTTGAGGTAGTCCTGGCTCTCTGATTCTTTCTGCACAGCTTACTTCGAATAGCCTTCGTATATGGTGCACGTGTATTATATGCCTAGTGCCTGTGGTGAAGGGAATGGCAATATTTGCGGTATGGGAGAGTTTTGCTCTATGTTTTTGGTGCTTTGAGACAAGAGTCTCACTCTGTAGCTAAGGCTAGCCTGGAAGTCTGTATGTTTTCAGGCTAGCCTTGAACTCAAAGCAGTTCCCCTCCCTCATCCTCCCAAGAATGACAAGTAGATGTAAATTGATGCTCCCGCTTACTCTTCAGTACTCATACCTAAGCCAGTAGATCAGATTTGTTTGTGCTTGTGTGTCAGTGCTCACACAGACTGACCCCAGGGCTGCGGGCCTGCTAAAAATGGACATCATCCTACTGAGTCAGAAGTCCACCCTCTAGTCACGTGTTTACCATTTTCTAAGACAATTTACATGTTGTCATGACTATCTACAGAACAACACCTCCAACAGAACTTTTTTATACACTGCAGAGTATGATGCATGGTATGTGATTCTAAAAACTGAGGTTGGTAGGGTTTTTGGGGTTTTTTTGTGTGTGTGTGTTTTTTTTTAATTTCAAATCATTTCTGTTTTACTAGCAACAAAAGACTAGGAGCTTCCACATTGGGTAACACAGCTCTAGATAGAACATTGTTTCTCAACCTTCCTAATGCAGTGACTCTTTAATATAGTTCCTCATGCTCTGGTGAGCTCAAACCATACAATTACCTCATTGCTACTTCAGAACTGTTATTTTGCTACTTGATGAATCATAATGTAAATATCTGTGTTTTTCAATGGTTGTTCACCCCTGTGAAAGCCATTTGACCCTGAAGGGATGGTGACCCACAGGTTGAGAACCGCTCTTCTACAGGCTCTTGAGACAAATAGAGAGTATACAATGGAAGAAAGAGAAGCCAGCTTTCACATCAGCAGACATGGCAAAACCCAAAATTAAGTACACAAGATCTAGCTGATATTTTTTTTAAATTAAGCTTTTAATAGTTTCAGATTCTACTCAGAAGTAGCCATGGTAGATGAATGGGTAAAAAAAAAATTTTTTTTTTGTACAACAATCACCTTAACAAAAATAGAACACGTCCATTGGGCTGGAGAGATGACCCAGCAATTAAGAGCCCTTGCTGCTCCTGTGGAGGACCTACACAGGGTTCCCAGCAGCCACAGGGCTGACACTCCAGCTCCAGGAGATCTGACACGCTTACCTGCCTCCTGAGGGAACTGCATGCATGCAGCACACAGACAGACATGTAAAAGAAGTACTTTTTTAAAGAAGAGAAAAACATCATCAAGCTCGGGTGTTTTTACCTTTTATTCTCCGGGAAATCACAGTCACCCAGTCAGGTCCACTGGAGTTGATTGGCATCTTGATATTCACACCACTTTAGAAAGAATTAAAAAAAAAAAGCACAAGCTTAGATTGAGATTCAGGGACATCTGTCTGCAGTTGTGTGTCTTTACCTGTAAGCGAAAAACTACACATGCTTTCACTGAGCATTGTGGTGAAGCAAAAAAATTAACCAACATGACTAATAGTTAATAAACTAGAGCTCTTGAGAGAAGGTTATATAAACTGGAGATGGATTTACTAAGTGTGCTTTAACTGCTGTGTACACACACACACACACACGCATGCACACACATGTATGCGCACACATATAGCCCACAAAATGACTAACTTCAGGTTGAATAACTCCTTTTGGGATCAGAGAATGTCTACTTTGTTACCACATGTTTTTGAGGCCACAAGTCCACACTGAACTATTATACTTCTTAGACACGCCCAGAACTGAGAGAAGTCCCCTGGAGATGCCTGCCCCGAAACAGTACTCAAACAGTACTTTCTTCAATTATAGACTGGTTGGTGACTGTTCTCCTTACTGTAATGTATGTTCCTCAAGGGTATGGGTGGGGTTTTTCTGTATCATCTTTATATCTTTAGACCATGGACCAGAGTCGGGCTCAGTAAATTCTTTTAAGGAGCTGCATGAAAAACCAAGGGAGAATGAGAGCCAGCAGTAAAGAATGGGACTCCAGTAACACCGTTCCAGTTCACTGTCAGGACTCTTAGGCTTATCAAAAGTTTTTAAAACAGAGACTGCAAAAAAAATAAAAATAGAATAAAATTTTTAAAAATGGAGAGTGCTCAGCCTCCTGATACAGGAATGAACCATCAGGATATTTTTACTGCTTTGTCCATTGCACAAAAATGTGTTCATTCTATAGACAATTAATAGGCTTCTTTTTTATTCTGGACACCATTCTAGCTCTGGCTTATGTAGCAAAACTCCCAGATCTCCTCCTTCACTGGAACTGACATTCTACAGGAGACAGAAAACCAAGGTGAAGGATCTATTCAGGGCTGGCCACACTGGAGGATAACAGAATTTCATATCTTACCTAGCGACATTGGATGACCTTCAAGAGGGCACATATAAGCCACTCTTATAAGCACAGAGTTTATTACACAAAAATAGGTACCTTTCATATAAAGATGCCTGAAGAATAGTTTTCTCCATAATTTTCCTTCAGAAATATTTAACCTCAATTTAGCCATACAATAACAAAGCAAACCTAATGTAAAAGACATTTTACTTGAAATCAATATTGAAATTGTCCATATCACAAAAAGCTAAAGAGGGCTGGAGAGATGGCTCAGCAGTTAAGAGCACCGACTGCTCTTCCCGAGGTCCTGAGGTCAATTCCCAGCAACCACATGGTGGCTCACAACCATCTTTAATGGGATCTGATGCCCTCTTCTGGTGTGTCTGAAGACAGCTACAGTACACACACACACACACACACACACATATATATATATATAATCTTTTTAAAAAGCCAAAGAGATAAAGAACCTTCCTAGATTTAAAAGGTAACAAAGAATTGTGGTCGTTTGAATCAGAATGCCTACCACCTTCTCTCATAGACTTATAAGTTTGAATGCTTGGCCCACAGAAAGTGGTACTATTAGAAGGTGTGGCTTTTCTGGAGTAGGTGTGGCCTTGTTGTAAATTGCTAGTAAGTGAGGTCTCATAGGCTCAAGCTACCCAGTACAGTACACAGTCTCCTGAGCCTGTGGCTCAAGATGTAGAACTCTCAGCTCCTTCTCCAGTATCATGTCTGCCTACACAATGCCATGCTTCCTGCCATGATGATAACCGACTAAACCTCTGAAACTGTAAGCCAGCCCCAATTAAATATTTTCCTTATAAGAGCTGCTGTGGCCATGGAGTCTCTTCACAGGAATAAAATCCTAACTAAGACAGTATAGAATGTGATCACAGATTAAATTAACAAAATTGCTAGGGAAATGTAAACACGCACTAGGGTCACTGATCAATAGTGCTGTATCAATGACAAATGTCCCAACTGTGATAATTGTAATAAGATTACATGCTGGATAAAGTCCATGCTCTAAGGAAAAACAAATATGGAAGACACTAGCAACTGAGAATCTAAAAGAAGGTGGGTAGGTGGTGGCAACATCAAAGTATTCCCAAAGACTTAAAGCAGTTGGAGAAGGTATTGTTGCTTACTCTGTGATTGGTTGGCTTGCTTGGTTTATGTGTGCATGTCTGAGTGCAGGTATACATGTATACGTGTATGGCAGGAAGGCCAGAGAACAGCTTCTGATAGGATTTCTCACCATCTTGGGGCTCACCAAGTAGACTAGAATGGCTGGCTTGAGAGCCCCAGAGCTTGTTGTCACCACTCCCAAGCTGGGATAGCACATGCTCACCACCACACTCAGATACTGATGCATTCTAGAGACCTAACCTGGATCCTCATGTGTGCCAGCAATCAGTTTACAGACTAAGCTATCCACCCTGCCCTTTCTCTGTTGTGTGCTATCCTGTTTGAGCCCAGGCTACTCTTGAACTCCCAACCTCTTTCCCTGGCCTCCTGAGTTTGGGTTACAAATATGACCCACCATGCCTAGGGGAAAAAAAGCATAAATGGTGTTAAAATAAAAAGAGAACTTCTCAGTAAGAATGTCATTTTAAAATTCCTGCCCATATAATAGAATCTTTAAGGGAGAGTTCTTCCCAAGACCACCATTTTCACTCTCCTAAGGGCAAAGAAAAAGATTCTATCACCTTAATTGTCGACCTATGATTTGAAGATCCAAATGCCAAAACTAGCCAGGTGAGGTCACTGTCTGTAATGTCATCACTTAGAAAACTAAGGAAGGGATGGTGAGATGGCTCAGTGGTTAAGTGCACTGACTGCTCTTCCAGAGGTCATGAGTTCAAATTCCAGCAACCACATGGAGGCTCACCACTATCCGTAATGAGATCTGATGCTCTCATATGAAGACAGCTACAGTGTATAAGTAAGTAAATAAACAAACAAACAAATAAATAAATACCTTTGGGTTGGAGCTAGCAGGGGCCAGAGCAAGAGGGAGAAGGGAAGGGGAAAACAGAAAAAAAGAAAAGAAAAATGAAGAGGATCCCCACAAATTTGAAGCCAGACTGGGGTATATAGTGAATTCCAGGAGAGCTTGGGCTACATAGTAAATTCCAGGACAACCTGGGCTACATACTGAATTCCAGGACAGCCTGGATAACAATGAGATCCTATCTCAAACAAACAAAACAACAGCCAAGCTTGGAAATTTTTTTAAACCTAAGTAAAGTTATAAGCCCAGGACAAAAGACAAAAGTGAATGCAAACTCAAGGCATTTGAGGGAGCTCAAAACAGTATGCACACAGACATTTAAGATTTGCTATTTTTTTCTTCTGAGATAGCCTCCTACAATGGTCTAGAACGTTAGCAGTGTGAAGGGTAACAAAATGAAAATCAATCATTGGGTTTCCATCAAATGTAAGGTACCCCAAACACTTTCCCTAACAAACATCATCTCAGGTAAAGAGTTTTTTAACTCTAACCTACGATGTGCTATTAGCCAGCCGCTCCCAGGATTGCATATAAGGGTGGGCATTACTTTTTCTTTCTGTAGTAACAGGTTTGTTTTTTTTTTTAATCACTTTTGTCTCTAATAGTGGGATTTGGTGTTAGGTATATCTTTGAATGTTTCACTATTCAACTCTTTACCCCTTTTATCCCACTATCTTCCACATGAAACCTGGTTAAATTATAACACTTCTCCCCTTCCCTTCCTGCTTTCTTCTCTTCCTCCTCCTCCTTTCTCCTCTTTTTCCTCCTTCTTCCTTTCTCCTTCTCCTCCTCTTCTTCCTTCCCTCTCCTCCTCTTTCTCTTCCTCCTTCTTCTTCATGGGCAGTTCATCAGTCAGACTGATGACACAACTCCAGAAAGGGGCAACTGGGTAATCTTCATATGTAAGTCCATAGAAATGAAACAATCTACTCTTACTCATTAAAAAATAGAAAGCTTTGGGTCTAGATGCAAGATTTAAAATATGTAAATACAGTACACATATATAAATTTTTTAAATAAATTTAACTTAAAAATTAAAAGAAACAAAACTAAAACCCTTGGAGCTTGGCATGGCTACACGCCTGTAATTTTCATCATTTACTAGGTTATGTTGGCAAGATGGGTTTTCTTGCCAATCTAGGTTTATGTAGTGAGACTAGGCCTTAAAAATAAATAAGTAAATATAAATAAACATTTAGATCTATGTGTGAGTGGGTTTTTTTCCCCTTAGTTTCATTTTCAGTTTTTATTCAGCGATACAAAATACTGGTCTTCTAGAGAACTTTCCAGTAAATGCATTAAATGGGCTCCCTCTGCTGGCCTGATGAATAAATGCATGACATAAGTTCACTGGCATAATGACACATTGTGGCATAAGGACAGACAGGGCCACAAGCTAACTTGTGGAAAGAGGTACAATAACTTTTTAAAAAATAAAAGAAATGAGAAACATCTTTACATGCTAGCAGTACTGATAGCTATCACTTATTAAGAGACATTTGTGTTAGAGTATATGCTTTCAGAAACGTTTAATGCATCGTTTTATTTACTCTCCTCAACTCATATATAAAGTATGTGCTATTATTTTCATCTCAAGTTTATAGGGGAAGAAATAGACTGAGAGAGGTTTCAAATTCACAAAAAATCACACAATCCTAAGTATCAGAATGAAATCATAACCCAGAGAATATGGTCAGACATCAGTCTGTAAGGGGGCTGGCACCTGCTAGAAACAATAGGTAGTATCTCTAACATAAAACATAGCTGAATAAGAACAAAACAAAGGGTAAAAGGTCTTTAATTAAATTGAACAAGCACTAAATTTTACTTTTAAAATACTAAACAAATGTGCAAACCTGTTTGGGGTTTTTTTTTGTTTTTGTTTTGTTTTTTTGTTTGTTTGTTGTTTTTTAACTCAACGCCACTTCTGAACAGGGCTAGGTTCAGACAGACAAGAAATGAACACTTACAAGAGGTTCCTAAATGTGGCAAAGACAGTGGGAAGGATCCCTACCCCCTAGAAGCAGGCAGGCATACCTCTGAAAGAAAGCACTTTCGGCAGCAGTGAGAAGACCCTTCGTGTATCCACCCTTGAAGTGGTTGATTCTGCTGCTGCAGGGGAGTTTCTTTGGTTTGAAGCAGAACCAGGGCTCTCCAGTGTAAAGATCCGTAAAGTTGCACAGCGGAAGACTTCCAGGAAGACACACATTGCACTTCATTGTTTCAGAAATCCTTCCCGATCTGAAGAGACTCTTGAAATAGACCCTGTCTGGTTTCTCTTCCTGCAGGCGCTGAAGAACTCTGATCCCTTCACTGGGGTGAACCAGAGATACAGACACTATAACTCTGCCTGGCCAGAGCAAAGTAAAAAACACCTTGTAAAACCCATTCTGATAGTCTACCACTCGGCCCATGGCCCCCGCCTGCAGCGTAGGCGAATGTATTCTGGCCTGCAGATAGTCTCCTCCATACTTCTTGGGCTTCCCTCGAAAATCCTGCACATGAACCAGCACCTCCAGCTGGCTCCCCACCCTGAAGAAGGCTGCAGAATTCAAGATGACAAAGTAGCTGGAAGAAGGGTCGGTGCTCTTCACAAACGGGACCAGGTCCACATCAGGTACCTTCCACTTGGAGGCAGCAAGCAAGGCATCTTCCTCTAAGCGTTCCTGACTAGACAGGGTCTGGTGTTCATAGCCACAGTACGCATTCCGACTAACGCCTGTAGCCTGTGAGGAAACATACTGTCCACTGCTGTCGATGAACGTCTCTGATACCGTCTCATGGTCCAAGTACTAAAGAGAAAGACAACGGAAACCACTGCTACAATGCTTCTCTGAATATTAGGCAAACAAATCCCTGCTTCAGTTTAAATTTGTATAAAATCAACCAGGATGATGCTGCTTCAAACCAACCACAGCCTGTACATTTCACGGTGACTGTAACAGAATAAGATTAATGGACACTCCATAGAGAGGTCTCTGTAGTTTAAGAAATACTACCTGTAGGAGCTGTGTGCGGGTTTTCTACAGTAAATTATCAGAGAAAAACCTCCTTCAGCTTCTAGCCATGGACTGGAGAAAGGAACCATTTTTTTTAAAGGAAATAATGTCCATTAGTATTAATCAGATAAGAAACTACTTTTCCAAAACCTAAACCTACCTGGGAAAGGTGAAATCTCCAACTCCAGCCTGTTTCAGGGATAAGAACCAACGAGTACTAAGGAAGCCTATATCAGGGGCTACGTGCTCACCAAAGGACTCAGCTAGACACAGAATAGCCATGCTCCTCCTCGCCCCTCACACACACACATGCACACACACTCGACCAACTGTCCTGCAAGCCCACAGAGCACAGCGCCTGTCACCAAGCTCATCATGTCTACATTCAAGAACAAGCTGCAAGAAAAATTACATTTTTTTTAAAATTAAAGTAAAAAATCAGAATCTGAAGAGAAGCAACATCAGATACAAGAAGAAAGCTGGACTTCTCAGAGGTTGAATGCAACAGTGAACGCAGCTCAGGGGCACAGTGCTTGCCCCGAGATGCACAAGGGCCTCACTCAATGCTTAGCACCACAAAAGCCCAAAACAATAAAATAAAAATTTTAATTAAGCTACTAAGTCTCAGGCCAATGCCTCTGAGGGCCACTCTGACTGGCGGACACATGTGGTGGTTCCTAAGGCTGTGGGAGGCTCTGGGGACCTGCAGCAATGGGTAAAGTGTGTAGTGTCAGCATCTCAGGCTCTGTTCCGACCACAGCTGCCTGGAGCTGCAGTAAAATGAGATTACAAAAGTGGTCTGTGCTCCCGGCTGCTCCCTCCAGATGCCCAAAGCTCTGCTTTTGCACAGAGGCAAGCAAGGCTCAGGTTAAAGATCGGAACTCAGAGAAGACGACGGGACTGGTGTGGATGTAGAAGAAGGCCGTGAGAGCTACACATTATGACAATCCACGATACTGAGGTTGAGGGCAACCCACAACACCACGACATCAGCCTGTGGTCACTAAAATGCCAAAAGACATTATCCAGGCCACCGAGATGGCTCTCAGGGTAAAGGTGCTTGTCACCAAGCCTGATGAACTGAGTTCAATCCCCAGAATCTACATGGTGGCAGAAGAAACCCAATTCCTGCAAGGTGTGCACAGTGGCCAGCACACTCACACGGATATGCAAAGTAAAGAAACAGACATTTTTAAAAATGAGGTGCTAATCCTATCATAATATCCAGGAAGCTAAAGATCACAGTGAGAATGTACAGAACTCTTGTTTCCTAACACTGGAAACACCAGGCTCAAAGGCTGCTCATGCAGATCATACCATGGGGTAACACTGGAAAAGCACAAGGTACTACCAATGGTTTGAGAGCAAATCATTATCCCAGTATCAGAAGAACAGTATCCCCTCGCAAGCCTATTCGCATGCAGCACGGAATTTCACAACAGGGCTTTCTAGGATGAAACCATGAGACGTGATATGGCCATCCAAAGCACCTACACCTGAAGCTTGCTCCTATGAGATCATTTCCTGCTTTCCTTAGGCATCCTCAATATTATTTAAAGAAAATTCAGTAAGTTGATTTTCATGTCCTCTATCCATCTTTATGCATTCATGCTATTATCTTTGCCTATGCAATCATGGAAGAACATTATTTGCTAATGTTACTGTATAACATGGTATTAGGAACGAAAGTAAATGGGCAATAAGGGGGAAGCCTACACAGAGAAAGCCTAACTCAAATAAACTAAAAAGTAATTAATTAAATTTTCTAGCATGTAGAAGGAGAAAAATGATTATTTTATATTTATCTTTTATTATACATTTTAATTAAAATTAAAACCATCAATTTATCTGGCATTTAGAAAAAAAAAAGATAGCTGAGGATGTTTTGAGGCTTCTAGTTAGTTTTGGGTTCCTCCTTAAAATTGTGCCCATGCAAACTGCATTTAAGTTCTAGTCTTCTAGGGGCTAATAAACAGAGAACAAACATGACCTGGAAAAGTAGGCTACATCGTTGCTTCCATCTTGGTGAAGTCAGCAGCCAAGATGGCTGCCATCTACATGGTGGCTTCCATCTTGAGATCGATGTACAATAAAGTAACAGACAATGAATTAAAAACAAACAAACAGCTCTTTCCTCCAGCCAAGCAAGATACCCAAAGGAAAGAAGGCCAAGGGAAAGAAGGTGGCCCCGGCCCACGCTGTCAAGAAACAGGAAACCAAAAAGGTGGTCAATCCATTGTTCGAGAAAAGGACCAAGAACTTTGGCATTGGGCAGGACATCCAGTCCAAAAGAGATCTAACACACTTCGTGAAATGGTCCTGCTACATCAGGCTGCAGCGGCAAAGAGCCATCCTCTATAAGCAACTCAAAGCACCTCCTGCCATTAACCAGTTCACCCAGGCCCTGGACAGGAAAACAGCTACTCAGCTGCTTAAGCTTGCCCACAAGTACAGGCCAGAGACAAAGCAAGAGAAGAAGCAAAGGGTACTGGCCCGTGCTGAGAAGAAAGCCGCTGGCAACAGGGACATCCCAACTAAGAGACCAACTGTCCTCCGAGCAGGAGTCAATACAGTCACCACCTTGGTGGAGAACAAGAAGGCTCAGCTGGTGGTAATTGCCCATGATGTAGACCCCATTATGCTGGTGGATTTCCTGCCTGCCCTGTGTCAAAAGATGGGGGTGCCTTATCATCAGGGGAAAGGCCAGGCTGGGATGCCTGGTCCACAGAAAGACATGTACCACTGTTTCCTTCACATAGGTTAACTCAGAAGACAAGGGTGCTCTGACTAAGCTGGTGGAAACTATTAGGACCAATTATAATGACAGATATGATAAGATCTGCCGCCTGGGGAGGCAACGTCCTGGATCCTAAGTCTGTGGCTCCACATTGCCAAACTGGAAAAGGCAAAGGCTAAAGAACTCGCCACTAAACTGGGTTAAATGTACACTAAGGTTTCTGTACATAAATATAATTACAAAATTAAAGAAAGAAAGAAAGAAAGAAAGAAAGAAAGAAAGAAAGAAAGAAAGAAAGAAAGAAAGGAGGAAAGAAAGGAGGAAAGATGCTACACAATTTTGTCCTGTACAGAGGGACACAGGACATCAATGTCCTTGGCTCAATTTCAACGCTACAGTGTCTCTCTGCAGCCAAGGGAGACAGATTCACTATTGTTTCAACCTAAAAATCAAGGGGCAGATGGGGAAGCACTGGAGCAAGCTCCCAGGGGTAAGGCTTGTGTGCCAGTTCCACCCCCAACCCCAGCCCACAACTGCCCTGCCCAGTGAATCCACAATCAGGGCCATCCTCATCTTCAGCACCTAGGGGAAGCTGCAGCTTTCCAAGTTCTGCCAGCCCTATAGTGAAGATACGCAGCAGCCAATCATTAAGGGGGACTTCCCACTTGGTGTCTACATGAGATGTTTGTAATTTCCCAAAAGGACTATTAGCTGGAGGATCTGAAAACCCAGTTTATAGACATTACACTACACTTTATTTTGTCTTCTACATGGGCTCCTCAGAAAGTGAACTTGGCATTTTTAGATCTAATTCAGATATTAAATACTAGACAAATACTAGACAAATGTTTTTTCAATGCCCGTGAACTGGATTCAATATTCCATGTAGACAAGACACACACTATTCTTGGAGAATTAGTGATGGGGGACTGGGGTTGAGGTTGGAGACCAACATGAATGAGGTCATTATGCAAACTGATGCACAAAATAAGTTGGGCCAATGTGAGGCTGACTTAGCAGGCACTCCAGGAAGTGATGCATCAGCTGTAAAGAATATGAATTTCATAATGGAATATTAATCAGCCAGTAAAAATGACATCATGAAATTTGTAGGCAAATGGATGGAACTAGAAAAAAAATCATCCTGAGTGAGGTAACCCAGACACAGAAAGATATATAGGGTTTGTATTCATTTATATGTATATATTAGTTATTAAATAAATGATAACCTAGCTACAGTCCATAGAACTGTGGAAGTTAGGTATACAGAACGAGAGTAGAGAGGATACATCAATCCCCCTCAGAGGGGGAAATAGAATAGATTTTATAGGTGGGCTGGTGGTTGGAGGAGATGTTTTTAACAAAATCTTTATTGTTTGATTTTACCAATGAAGACTCAGGAGCCAGATACTAAGGTGAAAACCTGTTAGCTCAATGAGGCAGAGAAATAAGCCAGTTGATGTACCTCCACAGACAATGCCACGACTACCCCAAAAAAGGGGGCAGTTGTCCTTCTCCATATTGTCTCAAAACCCCTCAAACTAATGTCCCTCCCTCATATTTCCTGTCTGTCTATCTGTCCTGACTTCCTCTTACTATCTATGTTTTTTTTCCCTATGTTCACTCTCTGTCAACTGGTTGCTCGCTCTGTCTCTTGACCTGTGGTTGACTTGATTTGATTCTGTGTACAATAAACAGAAAGCCCTTGGATTAAAGGTGTGTACTAGGGCTGAGCCACACCACAACTAGAAACATTTTTTTCCTGCAAATAACACAGTCACAGGGTTCCCATTATGATCAAATATTCTGCGACAGGGAGGAAACAAAAGGATCAGGTGGGGAGGAGAAGGGGAGATGGAGTTGAGGAAGAGAACACAGGGAAAGACAGCTAACGTTGAGAGGCATTGAAGGGTAGATATGGAAAACCTAATGCAGTGGAAGCCTCCTAAAATATATAAAGATTAGCCTAATGAAGTCTCCTAATAATGGAGGAGGCAGTCCCAAGTGGACATCTCTCGTCACTAAACAAAGTTTCCATTAATAGAACTGGGTTACA